CAGCCTGGAAAGTAACAGATATATTCGCCTTAACGCTGCACATTCAGAAATTTGCTTATGCTTATAGGAAACCACATAAAAGAAGTACTGCAGTATATAGACTGGTCTTGGGAGAATGGGCGAGGGAAATTTGGAAAAAAAGATGCAACCACAATGTATACTTACTGTACTTGTCTGTTGTCAGTACATTGCTTGGGTTTAGTTTGTTTTGGTTGTTAAAACTGTTTCATTCACCAATTGCAGAGGAAATTATTTGATAATTGGGTAATATTTTGGAATACCTTTGCATTACCATTTGCCACAATTTTGGTATCAATTGATTCCTCTCACTCTCCCCTATCCAAAGTTACCGAAACTATGCTGCAGATTTTAGGTATTGGGAGGTTTGCATGACATAATTTTGATATATTTGTATAGTAGAGAATGAGAGGAATCCATCCATACCAAAATTCATCAATCGGTTGTATGAAGGTATTCCAAAAAATATACCAGGTTATTGCAGGTCCATGGAGTTGAAATGACTTTTGTGCCTTCTATGTTCTAGCTGACGTCAAACATACACAGCTTACATTCTGGCAGTAAAGAGTACGTTCTTGTCCCTCAGTTGTATCACCGTGAGTAATATTGGAAATTCCAAAATCACTTGATTATTGGTTGGCTGGATGAGATATAATGTGGTAAATGACTGGTTGTTATTATATTAGATATCTTTATTTATAGTTTGTGTTATTTAGCAGAAGTAATCCAAAAATAAAGACCATTCCAGATATTAAATTGGTTTTATGGGTTTGATGATTGCCAAGAGGGAAGTATGTTGTAAAGCATATTTTTGTGTTAATCAGCATTAATTTAGAAGGATGAATTATGTATAGGAACAATATCTAATGCTTCCAAAACCAATAAATATAAAAGAACATCTACATAACATGCTCTTAATTCAAATTTTTGAACTCTTCAGAACTGCTGTACTTCATATTATTAAGGCACACATAGTACAGATTTCAACTATCCATTGGTTAATCCATTGGTTAATGCATAAGAAAATTATGATGGTGTTCACCACAACACTGGAGTTTTTACTGAAAAGCACAACATTTTCCAGTCAGGAATATTTCCCTAGGAAAATCAGTAAAACATGGAACAGGAATGACAGTATGTAATCTTGTCACCAGATAAGATGAAATGTATTCAAGTCCAGGTTTTATTCCTCTATTCATACAAATTTTTATTACTGATACAGAGGATTGAGGCAAAGAGAATTAAGATGTCCAGCCAGCTCGCACATCTGTCCCTTGTTGCTCAGACAAATGCAAAACATACAGCATCAGTGATATTTATGCATGGATCAGGTGAGTTATATTTTTTTGTCATAAGTTTAAGGTAAATCTAGATATTTATCACAAAGAGAAATGAAAAAAAAATTCTAGTAACTAATAGGTTTTATATTACTGTCAGTATATCAAGATACTGTTATCCAGCAATATTAATTGTTTTGTAAATTAATTATTTGGGCGACTGGGTCACGCTCATGGCATTTTATATTCATACCAGTATCTTCCATTTTGTTCAACATGCTGAACAGGAGGAACAGGGTCGATGGTCAAAGAGAGTATGAAGATATTGTTTGGGAGGAACTTCTCCTTCCCCCACATTCGTATTCTGTATCCTACAGCTCCAGAACGTGCCTATACACCATCCTTTGGAATGCGCCAGCATGTGTGGTTTAACAGGTATTTATTCTGAGATAAGAGATTGATATACTACTGGATATTTTACTGAGAAAAGGATTTATCTCTTGCTTGATATACACATAACTTTATTCACTTAATCTCTGAATATATAGGTGGGTCTTTAAGGGTGAATGCTGGGTATTTATCATTAATCAAGGCACTGAAATTCCCTTTTAAATGTAATGTACTGGTTTTAATAGATTGTTTCAGATATATTCATTGTCTAGAAGTTATACACTTTAGGCTGAAATAGATCAGAAGGAAAAAGAACTTTTGTGTTGGATGAGCATAATGAATGATGGATGATATTCATATTACTTACAAATTATTTCTTTCAGACATGATGTGGAAATCAGTGCACCAGAGGACCTATCAACTGTTGAACCCATGGCAGAAGAAATCAACAAGCTGATTGATCAAGAAGTCAGACTTGGAGTCGACATTAAACGAATAGTATTAGGCACGTTCTCTTATTTCATTGTATGGAACTCAAGTTTTCTGGCAAAAGAGGATTCCATATCCTGATATCAGAAAAAAATTAAATATAGAATTCTTTTATTAATTGGTACTTTGCACACACACACACATCCACATCCTTTTCAGAACTTACTGGAGTACAGCATTCTGTGATATCACTCATAGATTAGTTGTGGCCACCCTCCAGTTCCACTTCATAACTCTCGTTCCATGTTGTGACCACCCTAATGTGTTTCATGGTATGTGCATGGCTCATATTGGCTGGAGATTAGGGCTTGCATCAAATCATGGTGTCTAGGGCTCAGACACTGCTGAGGAAGAACAAGTAGCATATCAGAAATCTTAATGTAGAAGTTGAAGGCCACTTCTTAGAAAATGACTTCTGTCCTGCCTATCAAGCCCTGAGAAAGTTGAACTCAAAACCCATCCCACAGATGACTGCCATTTTCAAAGTAGATGGACAAGGCTGTGAGAGCATTGGGCTGAGTGTTATGAACTGCTATTCCAGGTTTAGCCACTGACAATTAGCATGGAGATAGATTGTCTGATACCATTCCACTAGATCTGCTGAGGAGTGTGGTCATCCCTCTTTGGAAGAGGAAATGGGATCCATATCCTTTTTGTTTTGTTTTTTTGTATCGGATGCTTGCATTGCATTGGATCATTGGGTACAATTAGTAGGACATGTTGGATTGGGTTATAAAACTAGAGTAGGACCTGTTACTTCCATGATCTAAAACCACTAAATCAGCTCTACCATCTGAGAATAATCCCACACATTAGGTTATTACCTTAGAGAAACCTTTAGGTGGAGAAGGCCCTTCAGATGATCAAGAAAGTTGTAGTTGAGCATAGTGAACAAATCTGTGAGGAAGTAAAGATGAGCTGAGACTTGGCATCTGGCTGGCTGGAAATGAAGGGTGGATGCTGTAGTTCACCCTCCTTACTTGTATTCCCATAACTTGATAAACTGATTGACAGTTTAAGCATTAGTGATACACTGCAGACAACAATGGAAATGCATTATAAAATCACCTAGTAATATATCCTATGTTTTGTACTTTGCAGGGGGTTTCTCTATGGGAGGGAGCATGGCTTTACAGATGGGCTATCGTTTCCGTCCTGAAGTTGGAGGTATATTTTCACTTTCATCATTTCTGAATCGTGGATCCAAAGTATATGAGGTTAGTTGATGATAATCTTTATTTTTATTTTCTATTTTTCAAAACAAAAATCTCTGATTTTTTCATACAGAAGGATTTTTTTCTGTGATTAAATAAAGTTTTAATTCTGTCATTTGGATGTTTTATGTATGGAAAGTAATATACAGCTAATTTTTGATGTTTATAACATATTGTTACAAAGAAAGATGGAAGAGAGTGAGTGAAAAACAGTATCTATGTCTATCAACCAATTAATCTATCAATTTATCTTTCTGTACATCTATCAACTAAATTGTGAATGCATTATTATTTGTATATAAGCACTTCTCTTTCCTCTAGGTTTTGAAGACATCACAAGATACAAATTACCCACCACTCTTCATGTGCCACGGAGAGAGAGATGACGTGGTTCCTTACGAATGGGGTGATGAGACCTTTAGGGATCTGCGGGAATTACAAATTAAAGGAGAATTTCACACTTTCCCACGGATGTTCCATACTCTGTGCAAGAAGGAACTCGAGATGCTCCATCACTGGCTCTTACAGATTTTGCCAGACGTATAGATCATAAAATTTTTATTGCATTTAATTGTATTATTTATTGATAAAGTAGATTTGCATATTTTTTGTTTTTTATTGATAACTAGCCCGTATATGGGTTCCTAGGCAGCATTTAGAACAAATTTTATATTTTTTATTTGTTTATGAATTATGTTGGAATGTTTTGAACATTTACAAGAGGTTATAAGTGGTGTAAGTTTCAAATTTGTTAAGTACATGTATATTTATATAAATTTTACAAAAAAAATTACTTGTTTACTATTCACCTTCAGTATGCAGTAAGAAAATCATTAAACTGTTACTCAAAACACAGATTATCGTACTACATTCACATATGCTGTTAAAGAACTGTTGAAAAAATAAAAATATATATTTACACATTTATATATATATATATATATATATATATATATATATATATATATATATATATATATATATATATATATATACATATATATATATATATATATATATATATATATATATATATATATATATATATATATATATATATATATATATATATATATATATATTATGTACTGACATACATGATATACATGACTGGTATTTCTGTTTCTAAAATAGTCTCTTATTAAGGCCAGAAATTTGCCTCTGATTCCCTTTACTAATTCAAAAACCAGGTCCAGGAAGGTATCCACAGAGGGAACAATGGTGGCTGTGCTCAGGGTCGTGGCTAAGCTGTGAACTGTGCTAGAGCCCTCTATGAATCAATGGAGGTTTTCATGAAGGGTCCCAGCTTTTGCCAGAGCTAGTTTAATACCATTCTTTCTGACACCTTGATCAGACAGGTGAGGAGAAAAATGGGGTGGTACCTCCCTGGTTTCTTTTGGTTTTGCGGAGAGGGAAAATCTCTCCAGAGACAGAAATGCAAGCTAAGCAAGCAGAACCAGGTGGAAAATAATGGGACAGTTGATCCTGAGCTAACCTAAGGCTGAGCATGAACCTTTCTTATGTCCTCCATAATTCCCTGAAAGAGAATGTGGCATTTGAGTCAGCAGTTTTAAGGCATTTCTAAACTACCTTCTACTCCTCTGGCAGACCAGTGCTACCTGCTCTTGCAGAGAACTCACAAGTCAATTGATCTACTTCCAACTTTGGGTTATGATGCCAATGCCTAGTAGCTTGTTTGCCATAGTACCAGCTCTGTAAGAGATGTCTGGTGGCCAAAAGCTTACACCTCACCTCATTCGTCTTATCATTATAGCATCAAGAGTCCTGGCCATGGTCAGGTTTATAAATGGTTCATGAGGTTGCCTCTCTGCAATTTTTTCCTCTGAAAGGATGAGCTATTTGATGGAACTACTAGAAGTCTACTAGGAGGTGACCCTTTGGTTGACCTGAACTTTAGTTCCTTAAAGCTTGTCTTTTATCCCTCTTTGGGTGAGGCTGTGCTTCAGCCTGTGTGGGCTGTCTCTTCTTTAGACCTGTTGATGTGGGACTTGGCGTCATGATGATCTTGACTACGCTCTCCGCCTCCTGACTTTCCTCCACTGTTACTACTGCTATGGCTACAGCAGTTATCAAGAGTGGCACATCCTCTTGTGAAAGAGAAAGGTTTGATCCGCTCTTCGGGAGGTCTCTGTGGCGTTTTTGGACCTTTTTCTGGGTCTGGGTCTTATTATTATTATTATTTTTGAGAACACTGGTGTCCGGAGAGGAAGGTACGTGTTTGCGGGTTGCATCCTTCTTCTAAGGAAGGAGGGAGGGGTAGAGCCCATTCTTTTCCTAATATACCCAACATGGGTGCCTGTGGAACAAGTATGAAGTTTTTTTTTTTTTTCTCAAAAACCTGGCTGCACATCCTTCCTGGCAGAACGCGTCAGGTTCCAGACTAGATGCCGCTTGGCGCGGCTAGGACACATAACACTCATGTCCCTTATGTGTCACACTTAAATGCTATGTGCCTTAACTCATGGTGACCATATTTTTTAGTAATTATTGCACAGGTGTCTCTGACACATGAGGGGTTGAAATAATCGTAATACTAAAAATGAATAATAATCGAAATAAAACGTCTCCAAAAGGCAGTGCGATATATTTCGGCCAAGAAACACGAGCGGTTCGATGACTTCCTAATGCTTAATTTGAACAGTGGCTTCAGGTTTGTTTCTGTTGCCTTACCCAGTTAACTTGAGATCGGACCCAGTGTGAATATCTTCACACTATACACCGGCAAGACAAAGAGAACCTGAAAATTCTGGGGGCAACAGGGTGCCTAAAAATGCCTCAAACTGTAGGCTCACGGGACACGCCATTGCAGTCTTGGGTTGAGGCTCTCCCATGCAAGGTGTATATAAGTATTCTTATATGCACCTTGTTTACTTACTTATAATCGTGATATGCGTTAATTTCTAGCGCCCTGCTCTTTAACAATATTGAGACTGAGATATAGACCTTGCTCCTCAACTAATGACGTATGAAAAGAACCCTTGGAAATATGGGAGGAAAATCACACCAGGGAACGATGACATGTAATACAACTGAAAGCCATAATTCTATGAATCTGTTGTCTTTTCTCGTACCTCGTGGGTTGTGACTTATGTTTTGCAGCTATAGTTTACGGAATTACATAGCGGGGATAGCCCAACAAAGAGGAAAGCTGCCCCCCTCCCCCATTGCCCTCATGTAAGTCCGCCATTGTCGCGAGGGGCATTAGTCAATCTTTAAAAAAACCCTAGATGGATAAGAGTTCTGTTGACTAGGTCCTGATTAGAAAGATAAATGAAGGGCTGAATTTCACTTACCCTTGGTACAGATAAATTGGCCCTATCGTTTTGTGGTTAGAAAATCAGTGCTCTAGAGTATTACAGGATCTTTCATTAAGACAAAGGTTATTACTGTTACACACCCACCACTGTTGACCCTATAAGCTGGGATATAGACAGGTATACCCGCCAAAAAGTAAAGAAAAAAAAAACAAGCAAACAAAAAATGGAGGTCTTATAGCTCCTAACTTTATCCCTTGAATGAAAGAACTGAAGCTTCTGTCGTTATACTCTCCCTAAAAGCACACGGTTGTCACATTTTTAATAACTACACAAGAACAGCAACCATCAAGGAAGCGACGTTAAGATCCTAACGACCCGTCACCATGACTAGTACGTAAAATTATCATACAGTTAATGGCAAATATCCTTTTCGCATTAGATATCATGATGAATAATCCCGAGTTCTAATATGAACGTAGGTATCAGAAAACTGTCGCAAAGGCAGTATAACATTTAGAATTGAATATATTAATTTCTCGTGTTTTATGCCCAGGCACGTCTTCAGGGTCACCGCAGTGAAGGCGAGATACCCTTTCTGTCAAGCTGTTTAGTATATTTTCTTCCACACTTCGATATACTGAAATAAACGACAAACAAGAAGGCCGATAAATAAGTTTAAAGATAACCACTCCTCCAAAAGTGTATTGAAATACTCCATGACTACAGTTAGCTAATCCCATTTAATTAGCTATGTCTTATAATATCACAGAAGTCACAGTAGTGCCTCAGACGGGTTTAAGACATACGGCTACGCTCATTTTTATGCATGGCTCGGGTAAGTAAAGACAATATAGACAAGTTTATTGTGTAGTATTGTCGTTTACTGTTGCTTGAAATTTTAATAGGTTTTAATGTACTTAAATAACATTAATTCGTGAAAGGCATAATTTGAAGACCTCTGTTTTGTCATCTGAAGTAAATTCTATAATTTTCCCCATTTTGTTAGTATTGCCTTTGCTTTCTGGTAAACATTTTATTGCTGCTGTGTGAAGTAGTGTAGAGGTAATGTAGACTTTTATTTTGTATATAAATAGCAATGTATGTATAAACTGTATATAAATTTGATAATCATGTTTAGTAGATAGTTTTCATTTTTTGCATAATTATACTGCAATAAAGTTCATACTAGCATCTGCACAATATTTATTTCACATTATCAATGGTAATTAACCTTTCTATATAGGAAAAAGTGGCTAATTATTAGATTGCCATAAGTAGGATTTTATTGGAAGACATGTAAGTATAGATATAACAGATTTATAACACAATTTGTGTAATAGGAAAGAATATTTTTAGTTTTATAGATCCTTTCTTTTAATATGATTAGACAGACAGGCAGACAGACAGACAGACAGACATAGACAGACAGACAAAGGGAGGTATAGCAAAAAGCTTACTTAAGTAACATAGGAAATGAAACCCAACCAATCATGAAAAACTAACAATCATTTTACCCTATGCTTTTACAGGGTGGAATGGAGTACTATCCAAGAACGATTTGGAAATGGTTTTCGGACAGGAATTCTCTTTTCCTCACATTCGGGTTGTATACCCAACGTCTCCAGAAAGACCCTATACGCCATGCAATGGAAAGATACAGCGTGTCTGGTTTGACAGGTACGATGTCCTTTATTTCACTTCTTGTATTAATTTTTGTTCATGAAAAATAATCGTCTTCTGTAATCTTTTTCCTCAGATTGTATTATAACTTTGCATAATTTAGTTTATACACATGTAGACATATGTCTGTCTCTCTATCGATCTCTATATCTCTCTATCTATCTCTCTATTAGTCTATCTATCTATATACCTGCATATATAGATACATATATCAGAGCACACAATTATACAGGCAGGCAGTGGACATCAGTGCACCAGAGGATGTTTCTTCCATCAAACCCATGGCAGAAGAACTCAATAGACTGATAGACAAGGAAGTCAGTCTGGGAATTGATGTTAAAAGGATTGTCATTGGTTTGTATTTTCATATTTCTCGGTGAATGCTTTATGGACTGTAGTAATATGTTTGTGAAAGAAAATTGCAAATCCTGGTAGTTTATTGTTGTTATTGTGATAATTAGTGTAATGAGAGTAAAGAGTAAATATTGATTTTGTATGATGATTATACATCTTCAAAAGTATTGTAGTTATTCCTTACTTTCTCCAATTACTATTACTCCTTGAACCTTTGCAAATGATTAAGCAAATATTTCAATTTGAATTAAAAGATCTGTTAAAATGAAAAGTTACAGCATGCTTAAGAAAACAATTGTATTACTATATATACTAATTTTCACTTGATTATATATGCATGTTTTAATTTCTGAATGGCAAATTGTATAATATGTAGTATTTTCCTGATTAGTGTTTAATTGCAGTAAAACAATATTACTCCTCTCCAGCTATGATTGATTTTTAACTTCCCCCTGAAAATAAAGTAGATTAAGAAACTCTTGTGCCATAATTTATGATTTAATTAATGAAATATTGATACATAGATGAATACCCAAAATGTACATAGTCATTTTTATAGTTATACATTTTATAGTAATTCATTTTTATAGTAATTCATTTTTACAGTAATCAATTTTTATAGTAATTCATTTTTATAGTAATTCATTTTTATAGTAATTCATTTTTATAGTAATTCATTTTTATAGTAATTCATTTTTATAGTAATTCATTTTTATAGTAATTCATTTTTATAGTAATTCATTTTTATAGTAATTCATTTTTATAGTAATTCATTTTTATAGTAATTCATTTTTATAGTAATTCATTTTTATAGTAATTCATTTTTATAGTAATTCATTTTTATAGTAATTCATTTTTATAGTAATTCATTTTTATAGTAATTCATTTTTATAGTAATTCATTTTTATAGTAATTCATTTTTATAGTAATTCATTTTTATAGTAATTCATTTTTATAGTAATTCATTTTTATAGTAATTCATTTTTATAGTAATTCATTTTTATAGTAATTCATTTTTATAGTAATTCATTTTTATAGTAATTCATTTTTATAGTAATTCATTTTTATAGTAATTCATTTTTATAGTAATTCATTTTTATAGTAATTCATTTTTATAGTAATTCATTTTTATAGTAATTCATTTTTATAGTAATTCATTTTTATAGTAATTCATTTTTATAGTAATTCATTTTTATAGTAATTCATTTTTATAGTAATTCATTTTTATAGTAATTCATTTTTATAGTAATTCATTTTTATAGTAATTCATTTTTATAGTAATTCATTTTTATAGTAATTCATTTTTATAGTAATTCATTTTTATAGTAATTCATTTTTATAGTAATTCATTTTTATAGTAATTCATTTTTATAGTAATTCATTTTTATAGTAATTCATTTTTATAGTAATTCATTTTTATAGTAATTCATTTTTATAGTAATTCATTTTTATAGTAATTCATTTTTATAGTAATTCATTTTTATAGTAATTCATTTTTATAGTAATTCATTTTTATAGTAATTCATTTTTATAGTAATTCATTTTTATAGTAATTCATTTTTATAGTAATTCATTTTTATAGTAATTCATTTTTATAGTAATTCATTTTTATAGTAATTCATTTTTATAGTAATTCATTTTTATAGTAATTCATTTTTATAGTAATTCATTTTTATAGTAATTCATTTTTATAGTAATTCATTTTTATAGTAATTCATTTTTATAGTAATTCATTTTTATAGTAATTCATTTTTATAGTAATTCATTTTTATAGTAATTCATTTTTATAGTAATTCATTTTTATAGTAATTCATTTTTATAGTAATTCATTTTTATAGTAATTCATTTTTATAGAAACAATAGTTTGAAAATGGAAGATGCTTTATAGTATATATGAATATAAAGAAGATAAGGATGTCTATTTTTTGTAGGGATACTGACATATTAGAAAAAGGGAGAGGGATAAGAAAGATAGGAAAGGGGCATTAGAATTTTTAAAAAATAAATAAAAGGAATGCTGAACAAGTCATTATCAATTTTTACTCCCAATTCTGACTTAGTAATACGAAATTTGTTACTTTCCTACTACCCTATATGATTAAACATTTAACATATCAAGGCACTTATTTGACTGGATTTTTTCTTATGCCTTACTTTCTCATTAAGGTCCTGGAGTCGGTGCCAGAAGCAGAACGTCCCCTCTTGTTCATGTGCCACGGAGACAGTGACAAAGTCGTTCCCTGGGCTTGGGGTGAACGTACTTTTGCACAGCTACAGCAGAGAGGAGTTAAGGGAGAGTTCCATTCATTTCCAGGCTTGAATCACAGTCTTTGCAAAAGGGAAGTTGAGTTAATGAAGAAATGGTTGGTGGATCTATTACCTGATGTATGATTACTGACTGGAGACACACAGACACACACATGCACACCTATACAGATACGCATGTACATACACATATGTACACATGTATGTACGCACACACACATTCACACATACATACTTTAAAAATATATCTGTTTAAGTTAAGACCATACATAACATAGCTTTAAACTATCAACATAATTTCACAAAACAGCAATTGTTTATAGAAGGTAGAATAACAGTTCACCAAAGCATACCTTATACAGCCAATTATGTGTTCACTATATTTTTTGTTATATTTAATAAACCATACATTGCATGATTAATTGATTCCTTATTAATCCAAGCATTTAGAATTCTTTTTTGTTAAACCCTTATACTGGATTTGTAGTCTTCAGTATATCTTTGGGTTGCATATGTTGTTATAGGTAGTTACTGTTAAATTCAATATAATATATTTTTCATAGTATATACTTACCTATGCATATTTTGTTAACTGATGCATCACATATCTTGATTAATATCCTATTAATGTAGTCAAACAAATGGATATATTACCTTATATGTGATTACTAACTGAGGTACACAGTTCAATGTTAATCCTTCTGGGTTAATAGTATTAAATGCATGTTTACATTGCATACATTGTCTTATGTAGTTATGATTTAAATAATTCATGTTGATATGTATCCTTCTGACTGATAATAAAATTTGTGTATTTTTAAAATATTTTATCTGCCTGTTTTTTAGCTTTATATCCTCAACAGACTGTAACATTGCACATGAAGTCATTGCAGAATGCTGTTGGATCAGTTGTAGGCTTCTTGCAGCTCAAGAAGACATCTACTTCAGTGTATCATGAATCACTATAGGAGATCCTGAGACTAGAGGGACTCTCAGCAAAGATTATTGAATTCATAATAAGTCCATGTATTTGTAATGCAAATGCCATAAAGCAGAATGGGGCATGTTGAACTTCCTTTCCATAAATCCTGCTGTGAGGTAAAGCTGTACTTTTGCACCAGCACTGTTTAATGTAGTGGATATTAGGTAGAGCTGTTCTTCAAAAGTTCAGTGCAAAGCACCTTAGGTGATATTATGGTCACTAACCTTAGCTTTAATAATGGTGTTGCTATCTTATCAAAGGAGACCGTAGTGCATTAGCAATGAAGCAAGGGCCTGGGATCCAGAGGTCTCCTGAATCATGATCAAGATCTAAGACTTTGAAGGTCCCATGGTGAAGACATGAAATTCACACAGAGTTTAAGATATTTTGTTAGTGCTGTTCATGATTCTAGGCTGTCAGACCAGGAAGTCGAAAGACAGATTAATTATAAGAGTAATCAAAATTTCATATAATACTAAATGGCATATCTGTAAGCTGCTTGAAAATTGCTATAGACGGGTAGCGAAAACTCTGGACAAGATGAATTTTTTGT